CCTCTGCCCCAGTGGATGCAAGGGTAAGAATCTCTGATTGAAATATATATATAAAACAAATTAAAAAGGATTATTGGCATTACAGGCCACTAGATTCATCTTCTCGAACTGTTAGTGTTACCCAAACAATAACTCAATTCAATGCCAAAATGAAATGAACCTTTGAGTATCGACAAACAATTAGTTGATTTTCTGTCTCCAAAGCTCAAAGGAGGTTATTGGTTAATAGTCTCAACGACAATTATTTTTTTCTGCTCCTTTTGTTAGAATGGTCACAATTTCAGGGATATACATTCAGAAAGTTAGTTGAAACAAACAAGTGTGGTGATAGGCCTGAGTTGCAGGCTTTCTTTTTTAAACACTGGAATCTAAAGCAAACTGGGGAGTGGTGTGGCTTTTCTGTGCTGTACTGTTGTCTGCGCTTAGTCTACCTTTGCAGGTAATTAATTCCCCAGCCTGCTTTTTATTTTCTAGTTGGCTCTTGTTTAGCTTCCTCAGAGCCCCACCCCAAAGTGCTTTATTGTCCCTCTGCTGACTATTCCTACATATGGTCAAAATCAACTCACCTTCCGGGTTGCTGACATAGGCAAATTCACTGTTTGGCAAACTCCACTCTGCTCCCAGTAACCCTTTGTTAAAGACGTGTTACTACAATGGAGTGGATCTGAGAGCTAATAAGTCTTTCCAATCTCTTCCACCCCTAGACATACTAAGGAGAAGCTCTTTGTGTCTTTGGATTTACAGCCACAGGCAGGATATTAGCACTCTCAGACCTGTTGGGTAGTAGAGCACTGCTAATGAGCAAACAGCCCTGCCTCAATTAGTGGTTTGTGAAATATTCCTGGATATCAAATTGCTTTTGCTGCTTGATAATCATGCGGACTCTTGGGATGCAAAGCAGTAAAGCAAAAATTGTTCCCTGTTGAGTACTGCCTTGTTGATCTCCTAAGTTATATCTTTAGATAGAATTCAAGTTTGCCATTTCCCCAGAGTTAAAGTTTCCCCAGTGATTACACAGGTAATCATTGTGCTGGTGTTCATATTTTCTTATGCAAATCTTTCCCATAGTATCTAGATTATCATCTTTTGAGACTGATTCTGTAAATATTATCTCAAGTTTATTTCATAAATTAAAAAATAAGCTATAGAAGAAACCCAGCTGGTAAACTGCTACACTAACAATTTGTCTAGGCACAGGTGTTGATTTGGGGGTCAGGGTAGGGAAGAGACTGAGAGACAGAGGGAGAGTGAGAACGAATTAGTGAAGCTAGGAGAATGTTTCATCCACATTGCAACTTTCTGTGTTAATTCTTCCTAAATTCTTTGCTTCTTAATTAAGAGTAACTTTAGATGGCAGAAATATTAACCCTAGCAACTGAAAAGAAAAGCTTCAGTAGAGTTTGGGAAGACAAAGGTAATAAAGGGAAAGGAATTCAAGATCTGTTATTGGTTATTTGAATATACATTTATTGTGACAAGAATGGTGTTATAAATCTTCATAAGCAAAGACCATCTTTCTTATCTAGAAATTGTTCAAGTGAAGATTCCAGAGTGGAAAGATACATCTTTTGTAAAAATCTGCCACGGTTTCTGCTTTGAGAATAAGCATCTATTGTTAAATTTCTACTAACGTAAATGGTCACAGCACATTTCACTTGATATAATCCAAACTTGATAGTGTTTGACTTCCCAGTGGGCTGTCCCTCTGTACCACAACCTCCCTTGCCTCAGCCTCCTGAAACTATCCTTTGTAAGCAACTCTATATAGATTGTCGGGGGAGGGAAGAAAATAATAGGATGAGAGCATCAGCTACAGTTATTTCTCAAGTCCTGTAGAGAAGTTTTTACTGCTTGATAGTGAGAAGCTCTGAGAGCAATTTTAGTTGACACTCTTTTAACTTCTTCAGCTACACCTAGATAGGTAATCTACAGATAATGCAGAAAAGAGGTTGGGGGAGGAGTACTTTTTCAATATTTTATTGTATTTTCTTAAATATCCTTTCTGGAATTTTCAGAAACAAAACATAAAAAAATTATATATTTTATTACAAATGGTAAACTTAGAGTGCTCCAAATCTCTTATTTACAAACAACACTGGGCAGGACACCCAAACAAACGAACATGAAATAACTTACAAAGGCATGAAGCTGTTTATTGACAGTGATCAGCTTTCATCAAATTAAAAAATATATATATGTACATACAGTTACGGAAGGCAGGCCAGAAAGAGTTCATCTGCAGGCTCAGCCTCGCTCTCACAAACCGTCCTCCCGCCTCCCCTCCCCCAACCCCCCCTTTGTGTTCTTAAGGAGTACTACAGAAGCAATCTACAGTCTCTATTGCAGTTTGTAACCCCCTCCCTTTCCCGCCCCCCGACCCCCATTTAATACTGAATGAGATCGAATGTTAGGTCCATGCAGTTCTTGGTCAATGTTAAAGAGAGTCTAACGTTGTTCGCGCGGGGACAACCCGTCCGGCAAAACGGGGCAGCCCGCAGGCTGCCGCTCCCTGGCTCCACGCCAAGGGAGGGCGCGCCAAGTCCTTCCCACTCGTGCACACTGGGGGCGCCGTCAGGACGCAACCCAGTCCAACTTGGATACCCTTGGCTTTAGTCCTCGGACACTTCTTTTCTCTCTCGCTCGCTACTTGTCAAGTTCTCAAGTCTGTCTCTCTGTGTAATTTCTTTTCTCCATTGCCCCTCAGCCCCTGACAGTCTCTCCTCAAAATGTTTGCAACTGCTGCGTTAGCATGAGTTGGCACCCACTGTTAACGTGGTTCATGACTTTCTGTTTAAGCTGTGCCACCTGTTCCCTGAGCATGTTGGCCGTGGACGCCAGCTCCGAGTTCTGCGCTTTCAAGGTTTTCACTTTTTCCTCCAGCCGGGCGATCCTCTCCAGCTTTCTTTTCCGGCACTTGGAGGCAGCGATACGGTTCCTCATGCGCTTCCTCTCCGCCTTAATCCGCTCCTGGGACTCCATGTCGATGGGAGACAGGGGCGGCGTTTCTCCAGGCATCTCGGGCACGGTCTGCGGCTCCTCCTTCAGGGCCTGCAGCCGCGGGTGCTGCACCGGGATCTGCTGGGGCAGGTGGTGTGGCGGCTGCGGCGGTTGCTGCTGCTGGGGCTGCGCGGGAAAGGCCAGGCCCGCCGCGCTGTAGGAGGGCGCCCCGCCGCCGCTGCCCAGCGCGCCCGGGTTGAAGTTGCTGAGGTTGGCGTAGACCGGCGGCTCGCTGTGCAGGTTGGCGCTGAAGCCATTGCTGCCGTTGCCGCCCGCCACCGAGGCCACCGCGGGGGCCACCATGCCCGCCCCACTGACGGGCTGTGCAGCCGACGTGACGCTGGGCAATGTGTTCTGGCTGTGCAGTTCGGCCAGGGCGCGCACAAAGCCCTCAGCGAAGCCCTCCTGCTCGTCGGTCACGTTCTTGGGGCACAGGAACTGGGTGGGGGTCGGTGTGGTGGTGATATGCCCGTTGCTGGACTGGATTATCAGGCGCTCCAGCTCGGGCGACGCCAGCTTGAGCAGCCCCACGTCGGGTGAAGTGAGGAGGTCCGAGTTCTTGGCCCGGAGGTGTGGCTTCAGGCTGCCCACCGGGTCGGCCAGGTTCAGGGTCATGCTCTGTTTCAGGATCTTGGGGTTACTGTAGCCGTAGGCGCCGCTCTCGGACTGGAGGAACGAGGCGTTGAGGGCATCGTCGTAGAAGGTCGTTTCCATCTTTGCAGTCATAGAACAGTCCGTCACCTGGCGTGGGATTAGTTTGGGCTGAGCGCAGAAGTTTCGGGGTCGCAACAGCGCGCTGGCAAGCGGGGGACACCCGCGTCTCCCTGGACTCTTGGCAAGGAAAGTTGCTCTAAGAGCGCGCGCACCCGCGGGCTGTCCTCCCCACTGCGCCCTCCTCAACCAGCTTGCTCCAGGGAACGCAGGGTTAAGATGCCGCCTGCACTCTTACTTGTTCGCTCCCGCGCTCAGCCCGCCTTTGAAAAGTCGCGGTCACTCACTGAGTGCTCTTCGGGCGCAGCGGTTCCTCGCAGTCTGCGGACCAGCTCGCTTCCCGGCGACAGCGGCTCTCCCAGAGGCGGCAGGCAACGTGGACCCCACAGTGAAGGGCCAGCGGCCGCTCTCCGCCGCCCGCACTTCGACGACTGTCCCCTCCTCCGATGCGAGGGGGAGGGGGCGCCGAAAAGCCGCGGCTCGCGCTCGCCCAAGTTCAGCAACCGGTGCGAGTGAAACTGAGCGCAGTCCCTCCTCTCTCCACTGCCTTTTCTTCTTTACCGCCGCCGCGGCAGCTTCAGGCGAAGGAAAGACTTGCAGAAGTTCGCTCCGGGACCTGGGAGCCACTTGTCCCCTGCCCTCCCGGCCAGGAAAGTTCCTTGCTGCGGCAGCCGCTCTCCGCACTTCCCCGGGCCGGCAGTCGCCGCTCTCCCGCTGTCAGCAGCGCCGTAGTAGCGGGGCTCTCCTGGGTGCTGCCGGCGAAGAGGTTCTCCTGGTGCTCCCCCAGACACCAACCTGGAAGCCACAGGCGCTAGCTCTGGGCAGTTGGTGAGAAATGGAAAAGAAAATGAGACTTGCAGTTCGGACTCTACTGCCTGGCTCCCTGAGTCCGAGTACCTCCACTACAGCCTCGCCGCTTCGGCCACACTCAGTGCAACTCTGAGCCCTTATCCAGCCGGAGCTCAACACTTATCTGCTACCAGTCAACCCCTAAAAATAGCCCATGATGTCACCCCAAGGCCTTCCCATTGGCTCGCGTCGCTCTCAGGGGGGCGGGCCCACCCGTCGCCATGGAGACCCCACCCTAGAAGATTCTTCTCTGGACCCGCGGAGGCTCACGGGATGAGGTAATGCTCCGCTGCCCTCCTACAGTTGGGCCCTTCTTTCTCCTCCTCTCCCCCACCCCCTCCGCGCGACTCGCTCCCCTCTCTTTCGCCTCCCCTCCCCGGCGCGTCTTTCCCGGCCCGCCCGGTGCATTGTGGGCTGACGTCTTGGGGTTTGACTGTCTAGTTACGGGGGCTGTCGGGAGCGGGTCGGTGCCTGTGACGGAGGCTGCTCAAGTTCAGGGCTCGGGGCTGGAATACATGGGGTGCGGGGACCCGGAAGGCTGGAGAGCCAGGTCGGATATCTGGGGCCGAGTGCACCGGGAGGGTGGTATCTCCCCACTTGGCGGGCTCGATGTGATCCACGGGCAAGCCGCCGCGCAGGACCGGGGGCCGCGCGCCTGGGGCCGTGCCCCCCTCACTTCCGCGGGGCGGGCGCACCTCCCTTAAGGTGGCTCTGTTAAGTCTCCGTGGGGGCGAGCAAAGTTTAGGGGTGGCTTCTCCAGAGTCGGCCACCCATGCTGAGTACGCTTCTAAGTTTGTCTTCTGGTCAAGTTCACCAGCGGCGGTAAGCGCCGCTGTCTGGCTGGGACTGGAAGCTGAGTGATTTGCATTGCTCGAAACAGTGCTCTCCTAAGTCCCCGCTACATCCCACTTAACCCTCCCCACCATGGGAAAAGGGTTGTGGAGGTTCACACTTTTGCCATGGAGGCGAGATTTTTTTATAGGAGGTGGAATTAAGGAGCAACTGAGCGTCCAGTTGAGAATGAGCACGTAGGGAATTCAAAAGTCGGGGAACTCCGGTGAACGTCTATTCCCCTGCCCGGCACAACAGGCAACACGCTCGCCACACATCACCCGTACACACACACACACTGATTTGTACACACACACACACTCCCGCCCTGATTCGTTTCCGGGAAAACAAGTCCGAGAGCAGCAGACGCTTGCCAAAAGTCGCACAGCGAGTCGGGTACAACCAGGATTTAAAATCTCTCCACCCTTGGCCGGTTGGTGGGCCCATATCCCGTGTAGCCTCTAGGAAGCGCTAGACACGTGTAAGTGGTTCCTTTTCTGTGGTGGTTCTGCCCCCGTACCCCCAGCCCCACCCCCGCCCCATCCCCTAAGGGCGAAAGTGTATAGTAGGAAGAATACCGAAGTCGGGAATCGGGGGTTCTCTCGTGGCCAGCGCAGCTGCCACGGTGTGAAGTAACAAATCACTGAATGTCTCTGAGTTTCAGTTCCTTCAGCTGCAAGTGGGGCTGGTGAGACCCACCTCGGTTAGTGTAACATCATGCCTCCGGGGCTAGGAGGTGATTGCGGAACAGTCCCCCTCTGTCCCTCCTCAGAGTTTCCCAGAGCCTCCATAGAATACCAGGATGAGTGACTTGGCAGGACCAGGTGTACTTAACTCTTGTGAGGAGTAGTGAGGGGATGCGGGTGAGGGAGGAAACGGTCACAAGTCAGCTTTTCCCAGGCCTTTTGCCCAGGACTGAGGCTTGAAGTTGGACCTGGGGCAGTTTACCTTCCTAGGTTCTAATTCCGGCTTTTCAGCTTTTGATCTTGGGGGAAATTCAACCTTGGGCTCATGGCATAGAGCCTTAAGGTATTTGAGGCTGTGGGAGCTCAAATTCAACATCCCAACAGCAGCTGCTGTCAGGGAAATCTCAACTTTTCTTCACTCCAGGCACTCAGCTCTCACTCCCTAATGCTGCAAAGGAAACCAAGTGGCCACTCTGAGCCAGGCACTGAGCTGAGGTGGGGGTGGGGTAGGGATACAGTGATGACAAGATCAGGTTACTTTCCTCAAGGAGGGAACATTTTTCTCTCTACTGTTGCCCTGAATCAGTTTCTTTTGTAATCAGGGAGCTGGTTGTTCTTAATAATTTTTATGATAGTAGAAATAAAAATAAATTTCATGTATTAAACACCCACTATCAGCCAGGCATTCACCTGACCAACATAAAGAGGCTGTTTCTCCCCACAACCGTCTTGAACTGCATATATTTATTATCTAGATTTAACATATGAGGAAACTAGGAGAGAGAGGTTAAGTATCTTGTTCAGGTCACACAGGCAGTTGGAAATTGGCCTCAGGCCTGTGTTACATTCCCTTGTAGCTTCTCTGCTCTGGGAGATTGCAAAGCATTTGTTGTCTGTAGAGGAAACGGTGCTTAGATGGTGGGATAGAAGAAATTGTCTTTCCTGATTGTCTGTAACTCCTTTCAGGGCTCCTTACAGAGCTCCTGTATTTAGCAACTTTGAGACTTAGGACTTTGTATAAATATATATCTTTTGCCTAAGGGTTCTGTGTGTTCCTCTCTGCCTTATGTGGTTTAGGAGGCTTATTTTCTCCTTATGTTGAGAAATAGCATATTTCATCCAAAAAATAACAGATCTGTTCGTGTTAACGCCCCTGCTTGGAAGCCTTCATTGGCTTCCCCTTAGGACCAGCAAAGAGTTCAGATGCCTTTGCCCGGGAAAAGGGGCCTTTCACAGTCTAGGTCCTGCTCTCCAGCCTCATCTCTCTCATTGCCAGTATGAGGCACTATGCTGCCCTAACAAACAACCCTCACATCTCAGTGGCTTGCCCCAGGGAATTTTATTTCTTGCTGATAACTATGTGTTCACTGTGGGTCTGCCTGGGAGTTCTGGTTACTGTGGTTACTGCAGACTTGGGCTGAAGAAGTCCTTCATCCTGATGCATGCTTAGCATTACTATCTTGACTAGGGGGAGAGAAGGTGGCAAATCACTCTTTGGCTCGCAGAGAACCCCGCCTGGAAGTGACACACTGCACTCTGTTTATGTATCATTGGCCAAAGCAAGTAATGTGACCATGCCTAACTTTAAATCTTTGTAATTCTGCCAAGTTTCTCAAAGGGAGAGAGCCAGGAATATTTGGGGAACTAATGACTCCCCTTTTGCTAACCAGATATTTGTCTTATGCTTCTTGTCCTCCCAACAGGCTGAATTCCCTCATTACTTCCTCAGGGGAACAACCCTAAACACCATGTAGTCACAGAATATCAAGCTTGCTTTCTAGGTTCTGGATTATGTGAAGTAGACTCTGTATCAGCTCCAGATGTGACTCTTCATCTAAAAGCAAGATGTCTACCCTTGCACATCCTCAATGTGTAATGGCATGACAGAGGATAATTGCAGTGGATACACCATTTGGAAAGTGAAGGAGTGGGAGACCAGAATATATACAAGTCCACTGAACATATATGTTGAGGACTCTATCCAACACCCCAGTTAGACCCTGATTCTGCTCCCTGAGTGTAGCTGCCCTATGCATTATTTTCCATGACCTCTGGCTTTGCCCTCTGAGAGGGTCTTCCTTTTCTATATCTAAAGCAGGCATAGGGAAGTATGTTTTTAAATAAGCTTTTCAAAATTGGGGGGAAGCACAGAGTGATAGTAAGTATTGAATACCATCTCCTTTAATCCAGGCTGATATTCTTTTGTTAAACAACTCTCACAAAAATGTAGGCTTCTTATCAATTTGATTCCAGGTGTTCCATGGACCATATAGCCACAGCCAGTTATTTTCTAGACATTTGTGGTTTTCTGTATTTCTTTGCTTTCTTGCTCTCATGCCTGCTGATAGCTGTCTCTTTCTCTCTCACTCATTCATTCTGTCTCTCATTTTCTCCACCTCCACCCCGACCTTGGTTTTGACTGTTTTGGACTTATTGGGCTTTGGTGAGAGACTCACACTTTCCCTCCTTCTTCCAGAGCCTTTTTGACCAACTGAAAATATATACTGGGTAACATCTCAGTTTATCAGAGGTTTTAATGATAGGTTTGAGGCCATACCCTTGACTTGATCTATACTTCAAGGCTGATTTTAGTTGGCCTTTTCTTTTGTATTTTACTAGATGAGATTGAGAAATAATAGCCTCCTCTAACCCTGAAAGCCTCTGAAATTATAGATTGTCCCTCTTCTCTTTCATTTTTGCTTGCAAACTGGCCAAGTCTTCTCTGAGCTAACTCTTTTGTAACAGACTTTCTTTAAAATAAGTTTCCAAATGTATCCAACAGCACCAACACATGTACAATTTCTTACTTTAGTGCCTTAGGTTCATGATAGGTCTTTTGAATTATCACAGGAAATGTGTTCACTATAGATCACCATTCTTTTAGCTTCTGGTAACAGTGTTCTTAGTTACTGCCCCCTAAATTAATCCTTGCTTTTATTGCTGTTTTTATTACATTATCCTCTGACTAGGGGCCAATTTTCATCAGTCAGGATTGGCTAGGGTTGCCATCTTAACAAACAATCCTAAAATCTCAGTGGTTTAACAAAAGATTATTTCTTGCTTTTACTATGTGTTCAAGGTCAGAGGGGCTGTTCATAATGTACTCACTCAGAGACCAAGTCTGAAGATTTCCTCTTGATATATGCTTCTACAATCATCCTAGTCACCTTGGCAATGAAAAGAAAGCACGGTGACTTCATGTTGGTTTTAAAAGCTTCCAGAAATGAATATGCATTAATTGTATTTACATATTATTCATCAAAACAATAATATATGTTATATGACCATGTCTTACTTAAAGGATGCAAGAAAGTGCAATCCTACTATGTACCTGGAAGTTGGGAGCTGGAAATGCACACCTCTGTGTAGGCTAGGTGATACTATGGTAATAATCCAAAACTCTTACTGGATGGCACCCACAGGATTATTTCTCGCTCATACTGTGTGCCACTTATGGGTTGGCTGTGTTTCTGCCTCACATCTGCTTCACTAGAACTTTTCTAAAACATTGCTGATTGACATGGCAGAGAGGAAAGAGAAGAGCATTTAAAGCTTCTGCTGTCATCAAGCCTGATGTCAGTGGGAAGGGGCAGCCAATATCTGTGAATAAAACTACAGTATACTGACCCTACACTGCACATTCCCCCATTCCTGTGAGTCTCAGCTACCCCAAACATTTTCCATTCCTCTAACATTTTCCTGTCTTTCCATCTACTTTTACTGTTTATCAGAATGCCCCCTGACAAACTCCTATTCATCTTTCAAGACCCAGCTCAAATAATTGCTTCCTCTGAAGCTTTCTGTTATCCCATCTCCCACTCTACCCTCAGATAGTTATCATTTTTGTCTCTGACCACACTGGTTACATACCTAAAGCACAGAATGTTTATCATGTGTTCTTGTAAATGTCTTCCTACATCTCTGAATCCAAACTCAGGAATAATTACATATGTTCATAAATGCTTGTTGATGGTTTTTTTATAAATAATATTTTCTGTAGTGGAATTAAGAGGGTATTTTAATAGTCAAATGTATTATTATTTTAATACATACAAGTTGGAACACATCAAACTCCCCTGCTGAAACCTCCTTAAGAACATCTGTTTAGATATGGGATAAAATTCAAATTCATTACCTTGCCTGTAAGATCTCACATGATCCGGCTATGCTACCTCAGCAGCCTGAAATAGCTAGTACTTGTCTCCCTCACTATTTTGCAGCCACAACTGGCTACAAGTGTATGAAGTCAGTAGAACCTAGATTATGCTACAGGAAAAAACAATCCCCAATCTCAGTGATTTAAGACAAAAAAGTGTTATTTCTTGCTGCTGCTCCATGTGCATTAAGGGTTGGCAGGGACTCTGATCACATTACCTTCCTCTGGTACCCAGCCTGATGAAGAACCTACTTTCAGGAACATTATAGATCTCCTGGGAGAAGGAATGTAAACTCTGAAGGGTCTTAGCCAGAAGTACCTTTGCCAGAGAATGTCACATGTCACTTCTTACAATTCATTGGCTAAAACTAGTCTCATGGCCCCTCCCAGCAATAAAGAGTCCAGGAAGTGCAATCCTATTTGCCTGGAAGGCAGAGAGCTACAAGTATTTGGTGACCAGCCCTAATGACTCCCACATTGTACTTCTTTAGTTCCTCAAACAAAACAAATTGTTTCTTACCTAAGAACCTTTACATGAGCCCTCCCCACCTTTTCCTGGTTCCTTGGTCAATTTCTATTTCCTTTGGATGTTAGCTTAAAGAGGCTTTAAGGATAACACTTCAAGAGGCTTTTTTTCATACTGCACCTTCCCTCCACTGAAATCAGATTACCCTCTTACACTTTATCATAAATCCCTATTTTTTTTATAGCAGTTGGGATTTCAGAAGGTCAGTAAGTAACACCTTTTCTTTCTCTTCTTGAGTTCAGAACCAGGTGAGAGTTAGATACAGGAATCAGCTGAATGGAGATGGCAATGTCAACGGATAGCTGATAAAGGGTAGATTGAAAAGCATGGCAGACAAGAGACCACAGTGGATTTCCTAATGCTTCACCCTGAATTAAACTTACTCACTGGTCCCTGGCAAAGGTGGGCATTTTCAGGCCTCTTCCAAATGGACAATGAATGTGTATAGACTCTGGACAAATTGGTTCTGAAAAGAGAGAGCAAGTGGCTGAAATGGGGATGCCCGGGCTTTCTTCTGAACTCAGTAATCAGGTAACTTACTCCTCTTCTCATGGGAGTAAACAAGGATGGAGGAAGGGGACAAGTGGATTACTTTACTGAACATCCCCTCATGGAAACTTGAATCCAGGGAAATGAAGATTTCCTCCTAATAATAGACTTTATCTTACTTTGCTCTTCCATATCTCTTCATATAATGGATTTTGTTTTTTGAAGATCTGTCTTGCCAGCCAGAGGGCAAGTGTCAAGAAGAAAGGACAGGCATATCTTTTGGTCCTCATTGTATCCATGGCATTTAGCATGGTGCGTGGCACATAGACGGTACTCAATAAGCCTTTGTTATAAAATTAGTTCTCCTTTGCTTGAGACTGGTTTTCAATTCTGAGATATTCCATTCTTATTCTCACACCCCACTTGTTTTTTTTTTTTTCAGGTTGTCAGCTTGGATATATGCATTCACATAACAACTGAATAAAGTAGAAATGAAGAAAATCGAAATACAAGGAAGTAAGTGAATTGCATTGTTGGACAGCATGGATGGACTAGGTTTGTGTCAAGAAGGAATGTGTAATTGTTGTGCACAGCATTACCCTTTTGGTGACGTCTTTTCAGCACTGAGAACTTCCACAAAACTTACAGAATCATAAAGTGGCAAGGGTCCTTACAAGTCATCTTTCAAGTCTTTCCCTTTCCCCAATTCAGGAATTCCTTTGGCAGCATCTTTAGTACTTAAATACTTCCAGTGATACTCAGAGCTGGGAGTGATCATTCTACTGAATACTGCTGGTTTGACCTCATTGGGAACATTGTGGACATAAAATTGTAGAAAGTGATTTTGACCCATCAGAGAGATCTCAGAGGTAGGCCAAATGTCAAGAAGCTGGAAACTATGTCCGATGCAGAAGTATGAAGAAACTCTGAATATTTACCTAGGGAGGGAAATAAAAGACCACGAAAGCATATACAGAAGTCTCCAAATTGTTGCGCTACTGTTACATAGGGGAACTGACTTATTATTTAGAAGATTTTGAGGTCAGAGTGAGAGTAATGATTAGACATTAGAGAGGAAAACTCTACTGTATTTATAGAAGAAATTTCTCAAGTTACAGTTCCTTATCAGTGGGATAGTTGCCCTAAAAAGTGGAATCTGTTCAATACATATTTATTGTCTACTATGTGCCATACATTATGCTGGGTTAGTTTATGATATTTCCTAATGAACCCATAGTAACTTGGAGAAATCATTATTTTCAAAGTTCATAAAAACCATCGTTAAATATTGTCTTTTAGAAGTTATTTATTTTTGAGTGGTCTCCAACATTAGTGGTTTCTCAATTCTGGAACTAACTCTTTTTTTTGCTCTCAAAATTTGCAAACCTGGGATGATATTTTCTTATGTCCAATGTTAGTTAGATGGACAGTCTTCTATCAACAAAACAAGTGTTTTCAGTATCCATAAATCAAAACTACTTGTACTTAGAATCACTTAAGATTGGGTACTCCCTTATTACTTGTAGCAGAAGAACTACCAAGTATTCACCAAATTCTTTCTTCTTTTCCTCCTGTGTCTACAGCTAAACTACATTTCCTAGCATCTTTTATAATTAGATGTGGCCACATGGCTGAGTTTTAGCCATTGCAGAGGAGGTGAATGCAATGCGTTCTTATGATGGCTCATAAAACTCTCTTTTCCCATCTTCTGGTTAAATGTAAGGTTTGTAGAGGGCAGTGCCACAGATGCAAAGAGCCTAGCTCTCTGAATGACCATATGGAAAATTGCCTACTGGCCAGAAATGTTCACATTAGACTTTGCCTGAATGAGAGATCAACTTTATTGTGTTGAACCACTAAGATTTTGAAATATATATGTCAAAGCTGCCATTGTCTTATTCCAACTGGTGCTGCAGGATACCCTCAATGAGAGAATAATGTGGACTTGAAGTTAGGGATTTTGTTCTGTCCTTTCCTCTTTGAAGAGAATTAGTGAAGGAGGCAGAAGGACATAGCACCTAGTTACACACTGATGCTTCCACAAAACTGTTGGTAATGTTTTCTTCCTCTCTAATTTATAAACTTCATGAGACTTGTTGCCATTTCTTACATCCTTTTCTATATTTAATCATTCAGTGGATATTTATTAAGAAACGCTAGGCATTTGGGAGATTTCAGAAGAAATACAGGTAGCTCAAATTATTAAATGTTAGTCATTTGTTCAACAATTTTTGAGTGTTTACTGTGGGCCAGCTACTGGTAAACATTGATGAACAAAAGCTATGGTACCTACCCACAAGTTGGGGGGAATAGCAAGGAAAATAGGTAATAAGGAGGTGAGGTGAGGCTAGTATAATAGTGCTATGGAAGGCAGGACAGGAAGTTCTCTGCACATGGAAGGGACATCTGACAAGGTTAGTGTTCAGAGAATTATCCTCTAAGGAGTTGATGAATAAATTGAAACCTCACGGCTGAACAGGAGAAGCCAAAGGATAGTAGAGAGAGAGAGAGTGACTAGGAAGAGGGAATACATGTACAGAGACTTGAATATGGGGTATGTTTGGAGAGCCCAAAAGGTAACCTGGAGAGGAAGAATGGACAGGATGAAGATGAGAGGAGGAACTTGTAATATATATATATATGCACATACTTAATAAATGCTTATGAAGGCTTTGTACTGTAATACGTGGAGGCCTTTACCCAGGAAGAAATATGACTGACAGACCACAAAGATGTCAACAGTTCTGATATTTGGTTAATTTCCATTTTCCTCCTTATGCTTCTCTGTTAGTTTAAAAACTTTCTAAAATGAACATGTATTATTACACTTAAAAAATTAAAATAAATATTTCTTCTCATTAGTTTTGTTAGACTGTGCCAGCTGTCCCTCACTGAATCCCCCCAGCAGTCCTTTGAACAAACTGAAGTCCGGAGCTGACACCCAGTGAAGCTGGAATTAGCTTTCCTAAGGCACCATTCAGTCTGCTTTCTCTCCACTGCACCTTCCTTCCCTGCAGTTTTCTAGGTAGCAATGATGGCTTTTCTTGGAACCACCAGCTTTAGCACTGTGTTGCATGTCTGTGTCAACCTGGAGAAACTGGGTCAACGTTCTCATGATCCTGACCAAGCTGAGAGGCTTCCCACACATGAAGGATGGTCCTCAACCTACCTGGCTGTGTCATTAGACTTCTCTGTGCTGCTGTCATGCTCTTTGCCTTGTGATTTGGCAGTAGGGGAGAGGGCTATTGATATTTTTTTTTAATGAAGTTAGGGAGGAGATTGTTTCCCATTATTCTGTCAGCCCACAATGTGATAGACTAGCATGGTGGTAGTTGGTGCTCAGCCAGGCCAGAGATGATGAATATTTGTTATGAACACCCAAGCGCTTGAATGTCTTGAAACAGTATATTAGCATTCTCTAAATGCTCTCCAAATCTCAGAGGCTTAAAACAGCAAGAGGTTATTTCATGCACGTTACATTTCCATCCTGATTTAGGCCTTAGCTCTACTTTGAGCCCCCATGTCTCAAATACTGGTGTGTGTCACTGGGAATATAGGTGACCCCATGGGATAGCTCTGAAAACTTTGCCCCCATGCCACTTCCACTCACTTTTGATTGGCCAAAGTGTGTTACAGGGCTTAATAGGGAGGGGCAGCAAATATTTTGACAACATCTTTTTACCTCTCTTTTCTTTATCTGCAAAATGGAAATAAGTAAACTACATTTACTATATTCAAACCATGAAATAGCTTGTAGCCATTTTGAAAGCTAAGTAATGGCCCTTAAAAGGTTGAGATGACTTGGAGAAAAGCCCATGATGTAGCACTACATGAAGAAAGCAAGTTGTAGAGTAATGTGTATAGCATAGTCTTATTTTTATATTTATTAAAAAAACCCCTATATCTGAGTATATTTGTTTGCAGGAGAACACTAATAAAAGCAGCTCATATTTAATGAGTGTTTATATGCCCATCATTGTGTGAAGTGCTTTTTACACTTCATTTTTTTGACTATTTGCTCATTTAATTGAGCAAATTAAATATATTCACATGAGTATTGGCTCATTTGCTCCTTGGAAAATCCAGAGAAAGTGCAAAACTACAAATCATGGTTTTAGTAACAGCTACCTTACTTGGGGATGGGATTAGCGATATATATTGACTTTTAAGAACATATGATTTCTGTAAATTTTTTCTTGTCACAATAGGTGGATCAGTCAGCTGCTGTTGTGAAATAATCACCAGGAAATCTGAGTGGTAGGTAATGTGAAGCATTTTATTTTCTCCTTATCAGCCTGCAGGTCGAGCTGAGGTGGCACCGTTTTCTTAAGGCTTCCCCTCCACTGCATCTGCCTCCTTGACAGTTTTCTAAGTAGCGATGATGGCTCTTTCAGGAACTGCTGTCTCTGGTGCAGGGTGGGGTATATTCACGTGCATCCTGGAGAAACAGGGCTGAAGGTCAAATTCAGATCTGCCCCATGTGTCTCATTCCAGAGCCCATCTTAAAGAGGCAAAATCTAACAGGGATCTGTTCTTCTCATGGAAGAGGTTGGGACAAATGGAAACATGGCAAGTTTTTTTAGGCCTAGGCTTGAAACTGGTATGTTGTCATTTTTGCCCACATTCTATTAGCTGAAGCAAGTTACCCGGCCAAGTCCAAAATCAGTGGTGCTTAGGAAGTCATGGAGGTTGTGGAAGTGGGGAGTGAATATTTGCTGTATAACAATCTACAGTAAATATTCATTGCTTTCTTAGTGAAGCAATAACCGTAAGGTGAGAAAAAGTGAGCACTTACCAGGGGTAGTTTAAATTATGTTCAAAAGTATATTGCAAAATCACATTATGCATTTCTTGACAATACAAGCTCCCTTATCTACAATGATAATGAGCACAGTGATATTGACATGGGCTTTTACTTAGCCAGAGTACTCATTGCCTAGTCAGACAGGGAGGAGTTTACCCCAGCTTGGCTTCTGCTGCCTGTGGTGTGACATTCTAAGCATAATTCAGAGACTGTTTAATGGCCCTCTGTATGCATCACTGCTACTTGTGTGGCCATCTGCAATCCGAGGAATGTAAATCATGAAATCACAGGCTGTTAGAACTGGAAGGACTTTGGTACCCATGGTAGGCAGTTGCCTTCCAACTTAGATGCACAGCTGCTTTTGCCAGTTACAGTCATTCTTGATTTGGTGTGTCTCACATTGCTGGAAAATGGTTATAGAAATAAAAATTCCTTCATTTAGCTAGTGGGACAGTGAGGCCCCAGCTATCACTTACCTGAGTAATAGGGTAAGTGAGTGACCAAGATGGGATGGGAACCCAGGTGTCTTGAGTGGGCCCAGGTCCTTTTACTTTGTTTATCTGCATAACACAAACATCAATCATATAGATCATTTGGGAATATTCCCTAAGCCCTGAAAATTCCATGTCTGTCTTTAAAAAATTTATTAAGCCTCTTTTTTCTACTCCTTCCTCTGTCTTAAGAGAACCTAAGCATTTCTTAAGCCAGCTACCTCTGAGCCCTATGAAGAAACACCAGCTGGGACAGACACTGAAATCAAGAGTAGTATGTTAAAATTCCTTAGAACACTGGCCTGGGAATCACACCTATTTTAATTTCCTTTCTGTTCTAGGTAATTTAGAAAATGTCTACTGATATAGCTCATGGGAATCAACTGCATAAAGAAAATGTTTTATTAAGGACTTCATTTGGTAGGATTAAGAGTTGTGTTTCTCAGGTTTCAGTTATTTACCCGTCATTTTTTTCCATTTTGCTGTGCCACTTACATATCTAAAATTAATTTATTTTATATCTTTTAAGTAGATTCACTCTTTTAAAACTTAAAGATATTTTTATAGGAGATGCTACATTACAATGAAAAGTATTTCTTGCCATAAACATTTAGACTGCTATAAAAATAAATGCATAGTCATTAAAATAAATAGATTTGTCTACATACCACTGAAAGTATTCTCGTATTCTACAAGTGAGAGGCATTCTCCACTGATGTAGTTGGAAAGCATGGGCTTTGAAATCAGGAAGACAGGTTCAAATCGCAGCTCATTCCCGGCCCAGCAGTGTCATCTTTGGCAATTTTCTTAAATTGTTGAACATCAGTTTCTCATCCATAAAATGGAACAATGGCCATCTCAGCTTGTGTGTGGGGGGGTGTATTTAACAAGAATTTAATGTCGTTCCTGGCTCATAACAGAGCTCAGAAAATTTAGTTATCTTCTTCCTTTTCGATTTTTTTTCCAAAATGGCATTCATGGACTCTGTCTGTTGTTAGATGAATGATCTGTATTCCAGAATAACTTACGGCTGTATTGCCTAACATGTGCTGGGAAAAGTGCTGAGTGTTGTGGGTGCAATGAAAACTGAGTAAATGGACTTGGAGTTGAAGACTTGGATTCAAATCCTATTTCATCTCCTTTAGATAAGTCACTTAAGATCTCTAAGCCTGAGTTTCCTCATCTGAAAATGAGTGTGTGTCACCATTTATACCTATCTGAAAGAATTTAGGTAAGGAAATGCCATAATAACTACTGGGAAAGCCTTTGGTGCACTGATACAGGCTTTTCTGCTGTAATGTGACATATAACTCATTATACACATAGCTTGGAAATTTCTGAACACTGTTCTTCAGAGCTGTACATTAAAAATAAAAGGCTTTTTGCAAAAATAGGGTTAAGTCAGACTATTGAAAACCTGTGCAATATTGTAACCACAATGCTAAAACTATACCTATCCTCATAAATATAATAGAGCTAGAAAGACCTGTTGAATTTTGACTAAATGAATAACACACACACACTACAGCAAATATAGGACTTGACCTTAAAACTGATGGAAGGCCTAAGAAAGGGATGAGGCTGCTGAGTTCTGGAGGCAAGAAGAAATGCTCAAACACAGGGGTGCACTGTGCAGTGAGCTCTTTCAAGAGAGCACATAGGCAAACAGCCCAGCAGGAGGATGGAGGGTGAAAGGGCATCCTGTCCAGGCTCCCAGGCCATAAGCCCCTGAGGCAGCTGCATTTCACTCTGTTAGTGTGGTGGTGGTTTGCTCGGCTGCTGCTCCTCAGGGCCCAAAACAATATCATCCTGGGAAAAATCAACATGAAACAAAGCAACTTGCATGGTCTACAGCTCTCATTCCTCTGGTTACCAGTCTGTCTTCCAGTAACATGTGTGGCAGTATATGTATTAGAGCAGAGAAGTCCCTATATGTAGAAGAGGTGGGAGGATGGACCTCTCAGCCAGGAACCTCTGTCCCTATCCCAAGCTTCCTGAACAGAACTAGCAGAGACTCCCAGAAGCAGAATTCATTCAGAAACACGAGTCCTTCCCGCTGTGCCTTCTTCCCTCCCTTTCCAGTCTGACTTGTCTACTTCCTCCTCCTGTCCTTGGTGTCAGGGCTCCTGTTCCTCTAGCTTGTGAGCTCCTTGAGGGAGGGCTGTCACATCCATGGGTGTGCTCAGAGGCCCCACACAGGGGCCCTGGAGCAGATGCTTGCTCGTGGGGGAACCTCCTTTTGTCGGCAGGGAAGAGCCCTGGGCCCTGGAGGTGAAAGGAAGGCCCTCAGCCAGGGCAAGGCCGGTGCCTCAGTCAGCTCCATCGCCAGCATCTCCGTGGCTCCCACGGGAGGCAGGGACTCCTGTGTGGGTCCCGACCCTACTTCATCCTCAGGAAGGCCACAGCAGGGCTAGCAGCATATCGCCCTCCTCAGCCCTCAGCCCTCCCTGCCTCCCCATTTCCTTCGTTCTCTCCTTCCCTCCCTCTCTTCCTTCCTTCCCCCTTTCCTTTCAACAAATATTTATTGAGTGCTTATCCCATACCACACACTATACAGGGTCCTGGGGATGAAGTGTTGGGCAAAAGAGACATGAAGCACCTAACCCCAAGGTGCTTCTGTGATGCCTAGAGGTTAAGTGCTTAGTGGCTGGAGCCAGGCTGCCTGGATCTGATATCTGCCTCTGTCTTTTACTTGCCACATGAACTTGACCATTCCTCCCTGAATCTCCATACTGTCAGCTGTAAGACAAGGCTCATAATAGAACCTATTTCAGCGGGTTGTTATGAATGTTAAATGAATTGATATGTAAAGTATTTTAAATTGTACCTGATCCAGTAAGTGCCCAATAAATATTAACTCTAATTACCAGTATAAGAGTTGCTATATAGATAATAAATAAGTTAATATAAAATCACAGTAAGCAACAAGTATTTTGGTGAAAAGATCTGGGTGGGAATTGCCTATAACTTGGAACTGGTTACAGTGTAGCTAGTAGACAATGTAAATGTTCGCCGACTTGACTGAGCCCAGGAACCAAAAAGATCTGTGTGCTTCTGGTGTTAAAGGAGAGTAACAGTGGGGACCTTCTTAAAGAGGATCATCACAAAGGGCTTCTCTGAAGAGGGGCTATGATATAAAGGATATGAATGCTGACGGAGGCAGAGAAGGGTAACATGGGAAGGGCATTCCTGGCAGAGGAGAGAGCCATCACCAGTGATCAGGTACTGAGGACTTTTCCCCTATAGCTCTGCACTTGGTCAATTTTGTTAAAATATCCTTTGCTCCCAGTTGGTCAGTTAAAGTGTCTACTATATGGGAAGTCCTCAGTGGTGGCCTTCCAACACTGGAGACTGGTACCATCCACATTCTAAGGATCCTAGAGCATCATGTCCTTCCAGGCTGTTACTGTGGCTCCATCTCTACCACCATGTCTGCTGAGTGATTGTTTTAATATTTAGGTTACATTTGAGCAAATTAAAGAAAAGAAACATAATGAATATACATATCTATTCACCATAGTCTAAATTCAGTCCCAATCCCTAAATTTTAACCAGTATATGTTACCAGCCACATACAGTTCAGGTTACCTTGGTCACATCATCTAATTTGCCTATTCATTCATGAATGCTCATTCAACAAATACCAATTGAGCAAGAAGTTATGTGTTAGCATGACAGGGTAGACAGATCACTTGGGGCCTCAGCTTCTTCACCAGTAACATGAAGGTGTGGGCCAGACTGCTGGTTTTCAACTGTAGTGGACTCCCAAACTCCATTTTTTTAAACATGGTAGAGTGGATTCAAGGTTATTCCTCTAATAGTTTCATCTTCAGTCCTTGTCATACTGAAAAGCTTTCTCAAGAGGGAGAGAAAAGAGGAGAGTGACAGCTAGCAGCTGGGAATTTTTGTTATTATTACCCAGAACTTAATTTTTCTCTGCCTATATTATTAGGATATGTGAG